CTTTTTACACGGAACCAGGACATAAGGCTTACTGGGGATAAGGCCCAATATCTGTTCTCTCATTTCTTGGTTTTACCTGTGACGTGTCTCTGGAAACTCTTTGACGTTAGCCCTGCTTTTCAGCCCTGCATACATACAACCTGTATGGTTGGTTGGGTGTGTGTGTGAGACTAGGTGACCTCCAAAGGTTCCTTCCATCCTATATTACTCTGATTCTGTGAAATCTGGGGATTAAGACCATTTATTTGTCCATGATAGAATTGATTGAAGATTGCCCTTGCAATCCAGGCAGCCTTTTACCCTGTCTTTGACTGGTTTATGTGTCCTTTCTACCTCACCTGCTTATATGCATGACTGACAGGTTAACTTCTTCATCTTTTCCATGCTCTTAATATTGCCAGCTGTTCAAACAACTAGCTACTGTTTTCTGGTCTCTCTCATAGTTTCATCTTTCTGTATGATACAAACCTGAGGGGTTTTATCCCTTTTTTTCTAAAAACAAACAAACAAACAAACAAAAAAACCACACACACACACACACACACACAAAAAAAAAATAAACCAACAAGAAAACCAAACCAAAACCAAAAATAACCCAAAAACCCCAAAGGTTGCTGGGGACAAGAACTTCATCTTCTCTGTCACTTAGATCTGTAATTTGAGTTCTTTCTAGATCCCTTTATTCCAACTGTCTAAATCTTGAAGATTGCCTCTGTATTAAAATCTCCAAGATACTTTGTGTAGCTGAAGCTTATATCCTTGCCCTCATCGTCTTCAAAACTGCAGTATTCTCTGTCCTTGACAAAAGTGGGCTTGCTCACATCTATTCCAAGCACTCAAGAAATGATTTTTCTTAGCCTGTCACTCTTAGCTCTGTCATCTGTCTTAGTGCATCTTCACTGATTTATCTTTGATCTAATGGAGTAGGAAAGATGCCTTTCCATCTGATAGATCATGTGGCAAAGGTAAATTATAACTCTTAACCAAGGACTTTTTTGTGCATTGTCAGATGGAGGAATGCAGTATCCAAAAACTTCTTTACCTGAAACACTGTTTCTGAGACAGTCTCAGATCTGATATTTCTGATTTCATCAATAGTAATGTACTATAGGAGGAGTGTCTTTCATATAATCAAATTCCAAATTATTTGGAGTCTGAAGGGAACTCAAGGAAGCCAGGTTTTCAAGTTGGAAATTTGGTTTACTTGCAGTTCATAAACTGTATGTGAAAGTCAGCTGGCTTTATTCTGTGTTATTTCAAAGTTTAACATCACTTGATTAGCAGTTTGTAGCATTTTGTGCTAACGCAAAGTTCTCCATGGCTCAGAGATGTGCATGTACGATAATGATGTGGTCTACAGTGAAGTCTGTTGCACTAGCCCTGCTCTTCTTAGGATCTCTGAATGTACTTTGATTGCAACCGCTGTCTTAGCATCTGGGATTTCTTGCAATGTCATACATCTTTTGGTGTCCTCATTTGTTAAAAACATTGAAAACTTTTCTTCAGTTGATCAGTTTGTAGTTGTTGTCTTCCAAATGTATTTCTATGCATTTCATTAGTGGTAGAGTCTTGATCTCATGGTACTAAAGTGTAGAAAAAAATTACCTGTACTGGTCTAGCTGAAGAGTGAAAGGCTGTAGGTAACATGTTTCAGGAGTGACTGACAGCACAGGCATTCTAATGATCTTCAGCTTTCACTGCTCTCTCCTTCCTCTCCTCATGAATTATCAAACTAATGTAGGTGGAAAAGGAGTATCAGAACAGAGTTCTGAGACTGGCTGTGTGATGCCATTTTGAATTTCACATATTAAGGTGTTACTATAGTGATGGAGACATAGGGGCATGAGGAACTATACAGGTATCTATTTGTAAAATTGGTATTTTAAACAATTTAGAACGTGCTGATACATTGGGAATATTTGTTGTCCAGGGACCTAAATGAGACATGATTGTGTTTCTATGCAGGAATACACGGTGAGCTGCTTTAAGCAACATTAAGAATGATTAATATAAGAATTGTGCAGTGAATTATTTTCTCTGCCCTTCTTAGGTGTGGTATTTTTGTTCGGCAAAGTTTGGATTGAATCTGCGAACACTTATGTCAGCTGTTGTGTGACAGTGAAAAATATTGAGAGAACCGTTTATCTGCTGCCACGTGAAACAGTAAGTATGTATTTTAAGCATGTCAAACATAAGTACCTTTCATTCTGCTTATGGCAGGTTCTGAGTTCTGGTAGCGTGTTTATGGGAACTGTTGAAGCTCGTGTTGTCTGATGTAGGTGGTAAAGTTAAGTATAATATAGACATGGTGCATCTCGTGTGAGATGCAGAGTAGAGCATTGCTCCTTCCCTCTGACCCTAACAACTGAAAACAAAGTGTCACCTTCAGATTTGCTGCTTAGGAAATAAAAGTTGTCTTGAAGTATTATTAGAAAACGTGGTGCTTTTTAAACACTGTTTCAAATAATATTTTTAAGTTTGGGGGTTCTTGTCTAATTGTGTTGTAGTTTTCCCTTGAGGAGATACATGATTCATAATAGCAAAGCCAAACTCACTTATTGGTCATGTCTGTTGACACTTTTTGTTAATTTGTAAAACACAACTTCTGTTTTTGAGGAAATGGACCTATCCATTGGCAAAGAGACAGAGACTCCAGTAACCATAATGAGTGTTTTCAAGGAATTTAACGACTGCATTTCACCGAAGTATAAGATCATGAAGTTCAAATCCAAGGTTTGTCTACAAGCATCCTATTTGGTCATTTCCTGTTGCTCTGTTTCATAAGGTGTGAAGTCTGTTGAGATGCTCTCCGGCGAGGGAGGCTATGGTGAAATTACAAATCCAAAACTCCTGATGTGTAACTGTACCTACTGTAAAAGCCATCCCAGGGTCTTCCTAAATATCCATACTCCTTTAAGAACAGTAAATCTGCAGTGTGATAGTTCCATCAGAAGTTTAAACAGTCTGCATTTGAAAATATTCATTCATTAGCTCTTTGAAAATGGGTTGAATGCTGGACTGTCTTTCTTGCTTGCTGAGCTATTCTTGAGAATACAGAACAGAAAGAAGTTCTGATACCTAAAGCCGGAGTATCAGCTCATGGTGTCAAAGTTTGAAATGAAAGATTGTGTTCTCCAGCAGATAGGTCACTACACTGGGATTAGACTGTCTTTGCATTTGACCAGGTGTCATACTGAACTTTATCTCTTGGCAAGTCTTATCCTTCTCACCCTTGCAGATTTATCTTTCTAGAATGTGTGCTGTTTGGAGCAGGGATTGTCACAGTGTGTTTATACAGGAGGTAACAAGTTGTGATGACTGTCATCCAGTCTTGAAACTTAAGCTGTGCTGGGCTTACAGTTATGGGCAGTGGTCTTTTTTTTTGATGTTTTGCTATGTTCTGTTTGCTCAGCAAATACTTAAAGTAACTTTGGAAAAACAAAGTACCTGAAAATTTGCATGTGCAATAGTGTAAAACTTGTCATAAGTCTGCAGGAAAAGAGCTGATAGTGATGATCATCCTGCAAATTTGAACTGAATTGGTTTGCTAGTGTGAGAAAGCTTTCTTGTTCACTTCCATAAGAGCATTTGTGTTTTGGGGCAAAGGGGCTGATGTAAGGAGCTTCTGTGGGGAAAGGTGGCTGGCATGCAAGTTAAAGGAAAAGATTTGTTCATTGTGAAGTGCTCAGAAACTTTTCCATTTCTTGAAGTAGCACATTGTTGGCCTGGCAAAGTTGCCTTTCGCTGTAGTTACGGGATGGGTGGAATTAGCTGTAACTTTCCTAGACTGGCCATCTTTTGACCTCACAGGATTTGTTTCTGAATTGGGAAATGGAATGGAAAGAAAAATGCAGGAAGAATGGAGTTTGACAATATGTAAATGAGGGAAAATAAAAACAAGTTCTTATGGTAATTCAGGTTGGAAAGACCCTCAGGAGGTCATCTAATCCAAAGCTAGAGTGCTTATGAAAGTTTATGTTGTGAAAGTGAAAATGTGAGCAGTGTTTCTCACATGGCACGTACATGCAAGACATGGCATCTTTTCATCAGCATGTAGTTTAGTGCATTATTTACATCGCTCAGGGACATGCATGTGTCGTTGCTACTTTGTAAGACTTTTTTTTTTTCTTCTGGCTTATTTTCTCTCTCAAAACTGATGCAAGTTTAGTGTTTTCAGTTTACTCAGTGTTGCTTCTCTTGCATAGTTGTCTATGACTTAGCTGTTATGTATGGGAACTGGAAAGGAATGAATTTAACAACAGGTAAAAGGCCAGTTTGCAATAGCTCACTGTTCAAAGACCCTTTCAGGAACAAGGGAGGAAACTTGGGGCAAATCAATTCTTCATTAAAAGAGAGGATATGAATGAGATGGAAGGTGGGGGAAGGGCCTTTGAAAAGAGGCAGATCTGCTAACAGAATCTCAGGAGACCTCCATCTATTCTGCAGCGTGCCAAGGAAGAATAGTGTGAGTGAGGTAATGGAGTACTATAGTTCAACCTTCACAGATGGCTTCTAAAAGTCAAGGTAAACCATATGCAGGAAATATTTGAACTGTTATTTCTGACATTAGCTCAAAGCTTATCACATTTTCATAGAATTTATACAGAGCTTGGGGTGAAAGAATCAACCATGTTGTCTGGGGTCCTTGGATGTAACGCAGGAGTGATGCCTACCAGGAGCAGGGAAGTAGCAGCATTAGGGCACTGCTGAGATCTTACCTAGACTATTATAACACTTGATCACCCTGATGAGGAAAGATTAGCTCAAGCAGCAACAGGTAGAAAAGTTGGTACCGTGAAGGATGAGGCACAAGGAGAATCAGTTATACCAGAGATAGCTATGGAAGAGCTTCAGGGTTGTTTTTTTTTAGCCTAGTAAAATGAAGAATAATGATAAGACCTGTTTGCTCTCTAAAAGCACTAAAAGGGGATGAGCAGCAAGAAAGCTATTTAAAGGATGATTTTAGCAAAAGAATGCATTTATAAATTTTAATTCGTGAATAAATTAGGCAGGATAGTTGGGGGTGCAAAGAAGCTCTGGAACTACCTAGCAGACTTGTTTCTGAATAGTAAGAATTCAAATTCTGTTTGAAATGGATACTTCATCTGTGCTGGAGTGGGTCCAGAGGAGGGCAATGAAGCTGGTGAAGAGTCTGGGGAATGTGTCTTATGAGGAGCAGCTGAGGGAACTGGGATTGTTTAGCCTGGAGAAAAGGAGGCTGAGGGGTGACATTATTGCTTTCTATAACTACCTGAAAGGAGGTTGTAGAGAGGTGGGTGTTGGTCTCTTGTCCCAGGTTGCTAGTGATAAGACAAGAGGATATGGGGTCAAATTGTGCCAGGGGAAGCTTAGGTTGGATATTAGGAAGAATTTCTTTACTGAAGGAGTGGTGAGGCACTGGAGCAGGCTGCCCAGGGAGGTGGTGGAGTCACCATACCTGGAGGTGTTAAAAAAAAAAAAAGTGTAGATGTGGCACTTGGGGACATGGTTTAATGGTCATGGTAGTGTTGGGTTGATGGTTGGACTTGATGATCTCAGAGATCTTTTCCAACCTTAATGATTCTTTGATTCTTCCATCGTTAGCTGGAAGTCAGGAGGGCTACTAGCCCACCTGCTGTGCACCCGCAGTTCCTTTATTCAGAACAGCAGGTTTAGTGATGATGTGGGGGGAGCCAGTATTTATACACCGAGACAAGTTGTCCTTTGTGTGCGTGTGCATCTTGGCCTTGCCAGCACCCAACTTTGTCCCTGCAAACAGATACACTTGAGCCGTATCACTTCCTCCTGCACCTGCTGCTAATTGGAGCTTCAATGGGTTGCACTGCTGCCAAGTTAGCAAGTCTTCACAAATCAATTTGAAAGCAGCCTTACTCCACTTAGGAACTTAGCAGCTAATCACTGCTGCTCATTTCTGCTCTCTGAAGGGCCACTTGAAGGGCAGATGACTCTGCAGCAAAGCATCCATTCACTGCAGTTGTGGCCAGACACTGCTGTAATCGAGCTGAGCTCTGTGGAATAACGCAGATGAATCACTGCAGCATACTATTTTTACACTATGTTCAGCTTGCCTTTGCAACAAGAACTTGTTTGAAGCCTGAGGTTTTTTTTTTTTAAGTTGAAAAAAAAAAAGGAGGAGGGCTACCAGTAGCAGGCACAAAAAGCAGTGGATGGCCATCTGTTAGGGTGCAGCCATGGCGTGCTGCTTGTGTGAGCTGCTGCTGCAGCTCAACAGTTCAGACCTACATTTGCATGCTAGTTGGTGACGCTGTTCTGACTTCCTAGTGGTGCTCTTGCACCAAGTTATATTACTCTGTATGGCTGTTGTTGCCTTAGTTGTTTCTGGATTTGCCTTCTTCCTAGTTATAGCAGAGGGCCCTCTCCTCTCCTACCCAGGCTTTGCAGCCTTAAAAATGCAGTGGTATGAGAAGTAGCAAGCTTAACTGCTTGTTACTGTGCTCTGAGGGAGCTATTGCTAATGCTGTTAATTTAAGGAAACAAGACCCAACCACCCAAACCCAAATAACTTTGAGTTTATCTAACTGTGAATGTATTTTGTTTATTTATAAATTGTATTCCAGTTTATGGTGACTGTTTTTTCTTACTGAGCTTACTCTAGTGGTATATTATGCTGTCTCGATATATAATGTGCTGAATTTAATGTGCTGCCCACTGGAAATATGTTTTTGAATTTAAGTTTAATTAATTTTAATTCCCTCTAGGAATTCTTGTGGTAAGTTCTAGCATAGTTATGGCATAACATAATTACAATAACATATAACAGGCGTGCAAATGGTTTGTGAAGCATAGAAGTTACAGGGTCGAGCGTGGCATTTGAGAAGCTACCGTACCATTCTTGCACGGGATACTGTAATTATATGGAAAATTAAGGCAGTTATTCTTAAAAGCTGACACGTTCTGCTCTGCATGTGGTGGAAAATGATTCTTGTTCTGGAAGAAAGCAGAAGTGATACTTTCAGTAGAGTTGTATTGAACTTGAAACTGCTTTAACTGACTTTGTTAGAGATACGTAAACAACCTTGACTGCTTTCTAGTAAAACCAGAGTCACGCAAACTGAAGAACACAACACTGTCATAGCAATGATTCTAAGCGTGTAATAGAGTAAATTGGTTGGGAACAGCAGATGGTTGGGAAATCGGCTCTCTTGGGTGCTTCTCTGAAGTGCTGGGACACTAAAGCATGCTGTATAAAAGGAGGAATAATATGCAGTCACAGGGCTATGATCTGATTGGAATCACAGACACCTGGTGGGCTAAGGACACTGTTAAGAGGGACAGCATGGGATGGTGAGGAGGGGGGAGTCCCTTTTACATGTCAGAGCAATGGGAATGTGTGAAGTCCTGCCTAAGGATGGTCAAAGAGCCAATCAGGAGCTTACGGGTCAGGATTAGAGGGCAGACTGATGGAAATGGGAGACATCATGGTGGAAAAAGGGAAGCTGAAGCCCACCTGGAGTTGAATCTGATGTGGGAGTCAAAGAGCAGTAGGAAAGGCTCCTGTAGGTGCAGGAAGATTAGGGGAAAATGTGTGCCTGCTGCTGAAAGGGGTAGGGGGTGTGGAGACAAAGGACGTGGAAAATGTCAAGATACTCAACAGGCTGGACAGGAATCTCATCAAGTTCAACAAAGGGAAATACCAAGTCCTGCACCAGGACTGGAATAACCCCATGGACTCTGGGACTGACTGTCAGGAAAGCAGCTTTGGAGGGAGGACCTGGTCATCCTGGTAGATGTGAAGCTGGACAAGAGCCAGCAATATGCCCTCGCAGCAAAGACAGCCTTGGGCTGCACGAGGCAGAGCACTGCCAGCAGGTCTCAGGGAGGTGGTCGTTCCCCCTTTGTGCAGCCCTGGTTGGACACTTGGAGTGCTACATTCAGCTGAGCTCCTCAATCTGAGAAAGACGTGCACATCCTGGAACAAATTCAGCATGGGACCACAAAGATAATTGCAGGGCCTGGAGTGTCTGTCATATGAGGAGAGCCTGAGAGACCTGGTACTCCTTAGGCTGGAGAAGAGAAGGTTTGGGGTGAGGGATTGGTGGTGCAAATCTTACTGTTTGTAAACATCTGATGAGCAGGAGTAAAGGTGGCAGTGGCAGACTCTCCTCAGTGGTGGAGGACAAGAAGCAATAGGTACCATTTGAAGCACAGGAAATCTATCAGAACATAAAACACTTTTTACTGTAAGGGAGGTCAGGCACTGGCACAGGTTGCCCAGAGCAGCTGTGGAGTCTCTATCCTTGGCAATATTGAAAACCTGACTGGAGAGGGCCATGAGCATCCTGCTTCAGTTGACCCAGCTCTAAGCAGGCAGCTGGACTAGGCAATCCCTGGAGATGCCTTTCCATCTCAGCCATTTCATGATTTTCATGGTGGTATGCAACCACCAATTCAGTATGTCTGAAGCCTTTGAATTTACAGAATGTTGCTGAGTTTCCTTAGCTATTAAGCTTGTAATTTTTTTGTGGTTTTGTAATGGTTAGTATACTTGTAAGTCAATTTTGTAGAAACTTTTTATGTTATAAAACCTAAAGAGATTAAATACAGATACTAAAACATTCTTACTATCTTTAGATTTTATAATGAATTGCAGCATTGGCAATACATTATCAAGCCCATGATATTTGAGATGGATGTTTTGTCTGGCTTTTATTTCATTTAGCTTTCTTATTGTACAGAATGAATATTCTGTTGGGAGATCTTGAAAAAATAATCTTTGTTTTATATAGAAAGTGGAGAAATATTACGCTTTTGAGATCCCAGATGTTCCAGCAAAATCTGAATACTTAGAAGTTAAATATTCGGTGAGTATAGTTAAGCTGATGAAAGACCATAACCTGCTTTCTTACCTAATTAAGAATTGTGATTTTACAAAAAAATACCTCATACATGACTTGATCTTTAGGTCACTAGTGGCTGTACCTCTGTTGCAGTGTGTAGTTAGCTGTTCATTGTGTTATCGGTTATTTGTATGTTGATTGATCCTTAACCAGTTCATTGCCAGGTAACCTATAACACATTGATTTGTTGCCATTAGCACTATTTGTGTAAATAAAGCACGAGGAGAAAACTTCCTACAAGTACTGCATTTCTCCCACCTTGATCTCAATTGTAATTTGCTTATTGATTTGCAACAACCTATATTCCCAGTTACCCTGCCTTAATTTTTATGACCTTGCCACTAAATCAACTAATCAGCCAAACAACCCTGTTAGCTGTATTGGATCGGGGCCCAAAATACTGTAAGATGTTTTAAAACACTTACTACCCTTAAATGCTTTGTTCAGTCCATGTCCAGAATATAGCTGATATTTCTGGTTATATGGCTCTTGTAAACAGCAGCTGGGTGAGAAAGACTTTTGTTGACGAGCTGTAAAATTGAGCAGCAAAGATGGAAAGATTACCACGAGGACATCAGTAGCTATTTTTCATTAGCAAAAATACTCAATTTGATTTCAAATGTAAATGACTCCCCAGTCTTGAAGCTGTTGGGTCAGTTGCTGGGATAACGCCTTCTTAAACCACTTTGTTTAATAGTTCTGGGAGCAAAAGCAGCATTCCGTAGAGATTTGCTAGCTATCTCAATTTTTTCTTTAGTGCAGAAACACTTTATCTAGTCTTTATATGACAGACAAGATTAAAGCTGTAACTAATTAAGTTTACAACAAGAGCAGTTCCTGCATTAAAATGGTCATTGAATATTGTTGTAGTCTTGGCTGACAATATTTTTGTCTTATATCCAGTATGGGTGAAGAACTTTTGCTTCAGTGCGTTTTTACATTATTGTCCTCATTTCGTTATGTGCCTATTTAAGTCAATAGTGTAATTTCTTCAGCTACTGTAAGATATTATGGGTTAAGGCTTTCCTTGTGGGAAATTACAGTGATTTCAGGTATTGTGTAGTTTTGTTAAGGTGCTGTCTGAATATAGCGTGTCAACCTTGAAGAGTTCCGTGGGGTGAAATGACTCACTGCTTTCTGTTGTTACTTGTCAGGCTGAATGCCCTCGGCTTCCCCAAGACCTGAAAGGACAAACATTTTCACATGTATTTGGAACTAACACGTCTAGCCTGGAACTTCTCTTGATTAGTAGGAAGATCAAAGGACCATGCTGGCTAGAAATAAAAAACCCACGTATGTTTGCATGTAAAATACCTGGTTGCTGGAAAACACGCATAATTATAGATTGGAGGGAGGGGGGAAATTTATGTTGTACTGATAAATCATTTTGTAAATGAACAATTTATCTGTGTAATTTTCATTATCTGGTACAAACTATAACTTATTTCTCCGTTTTGGAGTGAGAGCTTTATCCATATGAAGTTGCACAGTGTACAGATGAGGTGGTAGCTTTGGGAGTGGGAGGGCACTCTGCAGTGCCCAGCAGCTGCTCTGTTGTGCCTACCCTAAAGCCACGTATACTGTGCTATGGTTCCCTAGAAGTTTATTCTTCTTTCTTCTCTTGATAACTTAAGATTGATGCGTTTTTTTTTCTGCAAATGTATCTTTTTAAGAGCTAACTGCTGCTAGATAGCTTTTTTTGTTTGTGTTAGGTCTTTTTTTCTGACACTTAGAATGTGGTACAGAGCTTTTTTAGTTTGAAATCCTTTCTGCCTCGTGAGTGGCATGCACCACTTACAGGTGGTTATGCCACCTTCTTTTGGCTTCGTTAGAGCCCTTTATTCAATGTGTGCTGCATATTTCCAAGAATGTGAGGAAGCTGATTGTGCTGGACAAAAGCTACATCTATTAGTGCAATCTCCTTGTGGCACTTTAGAGGTAGAACTGACAGCATGAATGCTGACACCCAGAAGGATTCTCCTCTTTAGCACCTTGCTCAGTCACTGACAGAGCTGATACCAGTGAGGATTTTAAGCTGGAATAGATGAGACAAATCCCTGACTGCCAAAAGATGGATTGGCTGTGATGGGTTTTCCACCAGCCATTGGCAAGCATCAGTGTACTTTCTTTCTGGCACTGATTTCAGGGGCTGAAGAGTGGTTTTCGTTGACATTTTTTTCCCAAGAACTGATCTCATATTTCTTTGGCGTTTTCTTTCTTCACCTGAAATGAGTTCAGACCTGTTTTGTTCCTCGTATCCAGTATGACAAATGGTATGGCAATGGTAACCAACAGTTCAGGCAATATTATGTTTTACTTAATGCTAATGTGCATTATTTCCCCATAGAACTACCTTGTGTGAGCTCAGATACTGATTCCAAGCCAGAGTTAAATGATCATTTAAGGGAGTGCTTTTTCCCACTCCCACATCCCTGGAGTCTGAATCTTGATCCCAGAATTGCTTATTTCAAACCTGTGGCATGCCCACACTGTTGAGAACTGTCTGTTAAGATGGCTTGTTATATTTATGCCAAAAAAAGGATGAAAAAGATGTTTAAAAAAATGGAAAAGGATGTTAAACATTTGATTGTTTGTCTTCCTTTGGAGAGATCAACAGCGTTTTGTAGATGAGGATAAGTTAGTCAGTTACTTGTCTGCATTTAGAGTGAGGATAATGAGAGGAGGTAAAATATGTGGATTTCCAGAAAGGGGTCAAATAATTTTTCAGAGAGTAAGGTATCTAGGTGTACCAACAGCTGTCTTCAAAAAGTTAATCCATCAGAAATGTAACCTTTGCTTCTTAGGCTGTGTAGTGAGCTACCTTATCAGCGTCTTTTGTGAATCATCACTGTTGTTTGGTGTTGTTTTTTTTTTTAAAGCAAGTGAAGAACTGCAGACCAAAAAATTAGCCAATGATAATGGGTGGTGAATGTGTCTTTTTTTTTTCCATCAAGCTATATGTTTTTTTAGCTCTTGTACACTTCATGTCTAAATGGCTTTTTGTGGTCTCTTTTACATTTTAGGATAGCTTATGCTACCAGATTGGTTGAAATCTCTTAAGACATCCCCAATCTCCATAATGGAAATAATCATATTTGTGTTTCTGAAGGACTATCTCTAAATGAATTAATTATCTGGAGCATTTCAGTCAGTCATGTTCTCGTCCTCATTTGATCAAAATTCTTTTGATTAACACTGCCTTTTCTGTAGTGTTTGAGAAATTTTATTTCACTTATTTTTGATACTTTTTTATAATAATGAATTTCTGTGAAGTTTTCTCCCTTTGGACTGACTACAAGATCAGATGCTAGAATGTGGTATATGAATTTAGGTGGAGTTATGCTCACTTGGCCTATACCTTTCTCTACTCTTTATAAAGGCAACTGAAGTATCTTTTTGCATTACACATCTTCCAGACCTTGATACAAATCTTCCTCTCTTCTTTGGTGTTAAAGAGCCCCTGGTGTGACTAGGCTTCTGACTTGGGGAGTCAGGGCCCAGGGCATTACCAGGCATTGGGCAGGATTAGTCTGGATCTTGGACACAAAGGCAAGACACTGAGAGGACGTGCTCTGTGCAGCAGTGCCGTTCGCAAAGCCTGACCTGTGGTTCCCAGAAGAATGAAGGTGGTTCATTGTTGTTTCCTCAGAGCCTTCAAATCAGCCAGTCAGTTGGTGTAAGGTGGAGGCTGTGGCCATGAAGCCTGGCTTAGTGAATGTGGCTAAAGATCTTTCTCCTCCTCCTCCTCTCGTGGTCATGTCTCTGAGCATGAAGACCACTCAGAATCCAAAGACTCACCAGAATGAGGTAAGTAATCTGATTGTGTTTTGGTTTGGTTCTTTGGCATATACTAAAAATTTTCTAGGACTTGGAGGAACTTAACCTAATAAAACATGTCTAAATATATTTTCTGTTGAATAAGCTTCCTGTGCTGCGGGCTTTTCAAAGAAATTTTTACTGAGGTCTCACCAGCTTGAGCACTGTGAGTTTAGGGGGCCTGTTTGGGAAGAATATTTGCTGTGACGGCAGATCATATATTTTTTTTTTTAGCCTTCTATTTTTTTCTGTTGTGTATAACAGATATAAATGAGACTGTCCCAGAACATCTGTTAATGGGTTATTACTTTTTTTGTGGTAGAGCGAATAATAGGTTCTAGGTAAAGTGGTAGGGTTTTTCTGCTGATAAAACTAATTTTGAAATAGCATGAGAATTTGGTCTAAATCTTATAGCATCTTATAGAATCTTCTGTTCTTGCTGTGAGGTCTTCCTTTTCTCAGAAAAGAGGAGAGGTGTAGGTGACTACTCTCTGTTGTGGACTGCAGACCCCAACATGGAGTTAGGCTTGTGTATTAGTTTACTAATATAAGTCTTCCTAGATTTGGAAGAGATTTAGTATTCCCTAATAGTAGAGGATAGTTGTTTCTGGCTAATTGACTGAAAGAAAAATTAGGCTGGCAAATTTTTCAAGCAGAATTAGTCCTCTTGGTGAAGTTAATTTTTTGTTTGGGGGGTGCAGTATGGAAAATTCCTGGTTTCTAGCCAATGTAATGAGACATAAGCAAAGTACTGACAGGACTCTGCTTGCCAACGTGTTTCTAAAGCTTTGTCTTCTGTTGGCTTTCCTGAGCATTATCGGGGGATTAGGACATCTTTCAGCAAAACAAGTATCAGTAAAATTAATAGTGTCTAAATACTGAAACCTCTTGGCTTCTTGGCAGTCTTGACTGCCTGCTCACGGCAGCCCTTCCGAGAGGAAGGCTCCTCTGCTTGTCCTGCCCTGCTCATGTCTCCCTTGCACTTCACAGGGAGCCCATTAAATCATGGGGTCTGTTTAGATTCAGAACAAAATTCTGTAAGAGCAGTGTCTTCCAAAAAGAGTTATTTTCCTCTCAGATTTCTAAGATAATCATTCAAGAGTAAGTTCTTCTTTATTTTACTTGAGACCAATTGATAACTTTTCTTCTTTTAACTGTTTGTAGTTGGAATTAATTTTTAAGGGACCTTTTGTAGAAACAAGAGAAAAGAAGTGAGGAAACTGAAAAAGAGGGGAAGGACGAAATGGATATTGATAAGAGTTGTTTATGGACTTGTGTGTTCTGTATCTCCTTGGTATAGATTGTGGCTGTTGCAGCTCTGATTCATCAGAAATTTCCTCTAGATAAGGCTCCACCTCAGCCTCCTTTTCAGACACACTTCTGTGGTATGTACTTGGAACAGTTTGAGTAGAAAAATAATTCCCTCAGAGTTTTTCTTTTGTTGTGTTTCTTGGTTATGTGGGCTTTTTATTTTTTTTGTGTTTGTGGGTTATTTTTTTTACCTCATTCTGTCACTCCATCAATAATGGCTTAGAATAGGTAACTGGCAAGGTTTCAACTCCAATCAGGCTTTATTCTTTTAATTGTGTTCAGAAGAACTAAAAAATAACTACAAGACGGTAAATAAATGGTCTAAATTAATGGATGAAGAAAGTAACCCAGGAGAACAGAAGATGAAGTAAAACTAATAAATTACAGGAAACTGTATAGAGCGGGGTTATTTTGCATCATCTCAAACTATGGTTTTTCCAATAAAGACTTCAATAAAAAGTCATTAACCAATGAAGTTAAAAACAGGGAGTAAACATTTATAAATGAGTTTCCTTAGGAGAAAAAAAAATAATCTTACAGCAGTGTCTTTGAGTAAGGTCAGGTAAACCTTGAGATTCAGACCCCAGTTGGAAGTAATAAAGAGTGCTGAATGGTTTTGAGAGGAGTTCTTCAGAAGGTGTGGACCATAGTGTTAATCTCCAATGGAAGCCTCAATTGCGACTGATTAAAATTGTTAAACATTTTATTAATTAGTTGATTATCTTAAAGACAAGTATTGACATAAGGCTAGCTTGTTAGAGTTAGAGGTTGGTTTTCCTTAGCTCCCTTTGTTGTGAATGGATGCTTATGGGGAGGGTACAATTAAGAACTTGTATATAAGAACAAATATAATTCTTTTGCAGCTGTTTCTAAACCAAATGATTGCATTTTTCCTTATGACTTCAAAGAAGCTATTAAAAAGAAGGTAATTTCATTTTGTTAGTCTTCTAATTGCAGTACCTTTTAACATATGAACTTCATTTTGCTTTGGGTAAGTTGCGTAAGAGAAATATTCAAAAGGATGGCATGATTATTTCATTAGTTTTCCACTCTGTAAACCTAAATCCAGGTATGTATTCTGTGTTGCTTGTGAAATTGGAGGTTTATGCTGTGTGTGAATCAGTGCTGCTAGCTGTGCTCACAAAATGAACAGATTATTAGTTGAGAGAGTGGGAAAGGTTTTGCAGAGAGGCTAAAACTGTAGTTTGTTTTTATTATACCTATATACTCATAGAAAACTGGGAGAATTTGTTTATTCTTTCCTTGGAGAGTGAAGTCTGTCAACATGTAGGAGACATCCTTTCTAAAGGGCACTGGGAGAGCTGGCAGGATAATAAAGTAACCTATTTTTGTTTTCCCTCTCTTTCTGTGTAATCTTAAGTCTGTGAGTGAAGGATGCACGTGGAGCATATTCCTGGTGTGCTTGATTCTTAGGAGGCTGTTAGAATATCACTAGACACCTGCATACAAAAGCAAAATGGAAGAAAGCATCTGAGAAAAGCTTTCTGTGTCTATGGGAGTGAGAACAAAAAGCCTTGAATTATGGAAGGAAAGGGAGAACTCTGTGGTGCTTTATTATTGTCTTGTAACTAGTAGGGGAGAGGAGATGTTTCCATTTCAAACTTATTGGGTCATTGAAATCAGTTGCTCTCTTGCTCCTTTTAGAATGCTAAAATAGAAATTACTGCAACAGAGAGAACACTGCTGGGATTTTTCCTTGCAAAGATTCACAAAATTGACCCAGATGTTGTTGTGGTGAGTAGTTCTGAGATTTTGAGAGTTAAATTAAAGCATACTGGAGTTGGTCAGCTTTGTTCTTTTTCTTTTGTCCCCTTAAAGGTTTTTTAATGTTTAGCTTAGACTGCCTTATGAATTGAATTTTCTTATAAGCCAGCAGGTGTACTTTGATATAAGGATGATACAGAATTTTCCCTGACAGCATTTTATACACCTTATTATTTCTCATAATACCTGAAATAGGCCATATTTCCATAGTATCTGAAGCAAATTGTTTTTTTTTCCTCAGACTAAACACAGCAAAAAAATAATTTGTGATTTTTCTAGAAAAATATGAGCTCTCGATATACTTGAGTCTGTTTCAGTTCAGATGCTCATATAACTTGTATCACCATTTAGATTGTTTATCCTGTAAATCAAAATAATAACCTATACAAATCCATGGGATGTCAGTAAAGTTTTGTATTAAGTGTTCTTAATATTTTCTACTGTATTGGCAGGTGAGAACTTACTACTTTTACTAATTTTCTGTTTTCTTACGTTTAATGGAAAATCCTGATACTCATTTAAAAGAATTTTGAAGACAATTTGAAGTTGTATATAGCCAACTTCAGATTTATAACCAACTTGTTATTCTTCTGTAGGTAAATACAAATAATTTAGTGGTGGGAGTAGGATGAAATGAGCACTCAGGTTCCTGATGCTTTCAGCTCACTGCAGCTGGTATCTGGTATTTACCTTACAAGCTGAGCTTCTGGGTGGTTATGGGAAGGAATATGGGGAAACACTGCAGCCAGTAGTTTTAAACTGAAGATGCCAGTAGTAGAGATGTGAGAGCTCTAAAACCAGCAGAGCTTTGTTAGTGCAGTTTAATTTGCACCTGTTTTAATTAGTGTTGTTGAAATACAAGCTACAGCAATATAGGTAGGACTTCTCTACTATGGCTGTAATGCTGCTGCTGATTCTAAGGAGCACAGTATTGGACTACAGAGATGTATCTGATATGGTGAACGTTCCTGGTGACTGACTGGTCCATGTAGACTCGTGTTCATCAGGGCAACATTTTACTTCCAGCTGAGGTTACAGACCAGTGCCACCATTGTCCTTAGCGTTGTTTAAACTTTGCAAGTATTGCTGGAGTGCTTTGAGATGTAAACATTGATTTCAAAATCATCCTATCCCAATTTAACAGCTATGCCTTTTGCAGTATCAAAGGAAAAAAGCACAGTATTTTGGTGTCAATATCAAGACTTTCATGGATGGAGAGAAAAGGAATTACTCATAGTTCAGTTTATATGCTGTATAAAGGATGTTGGTTTTTTTTCCTAGGAAGCTTTAAATTGTAGTGTCTGGTATGAAAGCATAAAGCTGAATTGCGTGTGCTATGAGCTAGTTACAGAGCTGATTTTGGTATTCTGCTGAACAGCCTTGTTAGTGTTAGGACTAATGAATACTGTTGATAAATGTTCTCTTAAAAGTGCTTTCTATGAGAGAGATAATGCCATCAATTAGTTGGAAAAAAACCACAAAGGGCAAAGGAATCTCGAGTGTGTTAAAGTAAGTCTTTCAATTTACATTTATTGCAACCTTTTTTTGTTATTTTTTTCTGCTGCAAGGGTCATAATATTTATGGATTTGATCTGGAAGTGCTGCTTCAAAGAATTAATGTGTCCAAAGTCCCTCACTGGTCCAAGATAGGTCGACTGAGAAGGTCCAATATGCCAAAGCTTGGGGTAATAAGATTGCTTAAGTCTTTTAAGCCCCTTTATGTTGCATTAAAAATAAATTAATTTTGCTGAGGAATTGTAAATGTGACACTGATGTATTTTGACTGTTGGTCGTGCTGAATTTCGTATGTCCCAGATCAGGAATGATGAATGTTTATATGGCTTCTATTACAGTAATAAGCTAAACTAATTTTCCAGTTAAGCTAATTTAGTTTACGTATCTCAACTAGATGATGGTAATGACAGATTAATTGCAATAGTCTTTACTGTAACAGTCTTTGTCTGCTGTAATTGTAAGATGAGAAAATGTAACTTGGTTTGACTGGTGAATCATCACATAGCTGTTAAGTTAATAATTCTGTAGTTCTTGGTACATATTTGTTCAGAGGACAGTGTTTGAGGCTGGGAGTATTGAAGTGCTGAACATGGCTGTGTTCTTGCCTGTTCTTTTCCTTCCTAGAGGCCAGGATGAGTATTTGTGTGTGGTTTGTCCTGTGACTTTTTTGTCCTGCTGTTAATACAAAAAATACCCTCAGAGGAAAAACAAAATCCACATCCATGTTCTTACTGGGACTACTCTAATTATAAAAGAAAAAAAAAAAAGCATGACAGTGTAACAATTTAAGATGTAACTAATAATGAGAGTTAAGTATCTACTTAACATTGACATATTTAAGATACCATGGCTTCCTTTAGGACATAATTCTAAAGCATTATTATGTATTGATATTATATGTATTAGTGGTGTTTAGCAGAGTATTAGTGTTTAGTGACCAAGTGACTTAGCTGAGTCCTACGAGCATGTATTTTGGATAGGTGTTCTGTGTTAATGTTGGTATGTTTTGTTTTGTTTGGGTTTTTCTCTCCGTGTGTGGTACGGTTCAGGGTCGAGGAGGGTTTGCTGAACGGAACGCTGCCTGCGGTCGCATGATCTGTGATGTAGAAATTTCTGCTAAAGAGCTGATTCGTTGCAAAAGTTACCATTTGTCTGAACTGGTCCGGCAGATTTTGAAAATGGAGAGGATCACAATTCTGCCAGAGGAAATTCGAAATATGTACAAGTATGTTGCAGAGTCCTGGTTTTAATCCTGCACTGGAAAGCAGAGGAACTAGTTTAACATTATACTGTTTCATGTTTGCTTATTTGATTTGTCGTGGAGATGCTGACTTAGCATGCTGGTATTTGAAAAGTAAAATATTTTAATATTTTCTTAAAGAATGTAACTACTTGTAGATGATGGCTTATTATGTGCAAAGCAAACTGATGTATCATAGCACTGGTTTAGATACATTAATAGGGTATGCAAGCTAGAGCTTTGTGGGTTTTTTTTGGTTTTTTGTTTTTTTTTTTTAATTAAAAGAGCTTGCCATATAATTCAGCACTGGTGTGCTACAGATACCATGTGTTCCATACAGCATATGGATCTAAACTACTAATGAGCAATAGGATGAGAAGAAATGGGCTCCAGTTGCACCAGGGGAGGGTCAGGTTGTATATTAGGAAGAATTTCTTTCATGAAAGAGTGGTGAGACTTTGGAACAAGCTATTGAGGGAGGGGATGGAGTCACCATCCCTGGAGGTGTTAAAAAAACCCATGTAGACATGGTACTTCAGGACATGGTTTAGTGGTCATGGTACTATTGGATGACGGTTGGACTTGATAATCTCAGAGGTCTTTTCCAACCTTAATGATTCAATGATTCTACTACAGAATACAAGGGAGACTGATTTTACTTTACTAGGCCATCCTTCTTATTTTCCCAGTGATTCTCCTCGCTTAATTTACATGCTGGAAAACACCTGGACAGATGCCAAGTTCATGCTCCAGATCATGTGTGAGCTGAATGTTCTGCCACTGGCCCTTCAAATAACAAACATCTCTGGCAATGTCATGGTACGTTTTTATCACTTTCCCTTGCCATTGTTCCACAAGTTCCATGTTTTCTGTGTTTGATTTGCTAGCTTTAATTTCTAAAAAGTAATTGAGAATATATGATGCTGTAATTCTTTCTCCTGTGATGAGTGTGAGAGTTTGTACTTGTCAAGTAATAATGTAAAACTTCCGTTAAAATATCACATATGAGTTTGTGCATGGTGATGATACAGAATAACAGTAATGTTAAGTGAACCTATAAACGGTTGAATGATGTTGCTTAGTCTGTTGTTGTATGTCAGTGTTTTCTGTGCTCTACTTTGAAATCTTTGTTCTTGGTGTTTTTTTTTTCCTCTTCTCTATAGTCAAGGACGATGATGGGCGGGCGATCTGAACGTAATGAGTTCCTGCTGCTTCATGCATTTCATGAAAAAGACTACATAGTGCCGGACAAACAAGTTTTTAAAAAGCCTCCACAGAAGCTGGTGGGTTTAGTTTTAGTCTTTTCAATATTTTTTATTAAAAAGAAAAAAAAAAATGTTTTTATGTCTTTTTGCTGTGTTCTGTGAGAGCATGGAAACCCCAAACATAACCAGTTTTAGATACAACTTAATGTTACAGCTTAATTAATTTTTTGTTGCTGTCTAACTGATAATGGAGAAATGTATGGTTTGAAGGGACAGTGTAACACCTTTTCCATTGTATCACAGACCTGTGGAAAGTCAGTTGCTCTTTTAGCTTAAAACTGAAGCAAGCTAAGTACTTGGCTTTGTAGTAAAGAAGATAGTCTTGTGTTGCTTAATAGATGCACATTTACAGTACAATTATTTTGTTGATGAACAGTATTTCAGGTATATATTGTAAGGTAGGTGATTTGAGAGTGTGGGTGAAATAGCCAAACATATTATAAAAAATTCCTTTGGATAATACCAGTGTAAATGTATTTATAGAAACATCTGTGTTTGTTAGTAAACAAATTAAAATTTGAGAGTGTATTTGTATTTCGCTATTTTTTTTTTTTTAACTTTTAAATAAGTTCAACAGCAAATTCCAAACCAATAATTCTGTTGACTGTATTGTTGCATCAAAGCAGTGCCAGGATTTTAAATGATTAACATTGGAGAACTTGGAGAAAAATTCTTACTACAACAAAACAAATAGCAAAGTATTCTTTAGGTCAGTAGTAATGTTTTTATTTTTCATTTCAGCCATTGTAATTCGCAAACCTACAATATAATTGGGTAGTAATACTTCTGAGTCATGACTTGATTTTATTTTTTTCTGGTGTTGACTTATATCCATCCATCCATCCAGAAAACACATACTAATGCTTTGTTGAATCATCATGACAATTCCTTAAGTTCTTTGTAAGCCCTTGTTAGCAGTTTGTTCCTATAGGAGTTGATATGAGTGCTGTTTTGACATGTAGAGAGCTTCAATAAGGATCATGATGAAAACATCACATTTTGCATGTACCTAAAATGAAACTCTATACACTGGCTCCCAATTTCATACCTGATTTGCCAAAAATAACTCCTCCAAAAGTACAGAAATCTTGGAGACTAGATAATGACTTTTTTTAAATGCCAAATGTAGGTGGATGAAGATGAAGATTTTGAAGATCAGAATAAATCAAAGATAGGGAAAAAGAAAGCAGCATATGCTGGGGGCTTAGTCTTGGATCCCAAAGTCGGTAAGATATGGCAATTTTCTTTCTTCTATGAAGTTAGAGCCAGGTAGGTTATATTAATGCAGATAGATTGTGTGAGCACCATCTGTGTGTCGTGTGGGAGTCTGGAGTGGTGGTTTGGGGCAAGGGTTGTTACGTACAAGAAAATTCCCAACATTGATTGTGGAATTGCTTATTATTGGGGCTTTTTTTTTTTCTTAGCTTTTTGTGAGACGATTATGGTTTTGTGAGGAATTAGGACTGTGTGTCTCTGTGTAATTTTCTCATGGACACGTAAGTTTTCTTTCAGTTTCTCCTCTATGTGGGGAAAACTGTACCAGTGTCCTATATCAACACAGAAGCTATCTGTTCAACTCTGGTGAGTTAATGGGGTTGGATCGTTCCACTTCTGACAGCTTTCTATAATGGGTAGTGATGCTTCTCAACAGCTACTTTAAGGGATTTAATTCAAGTGTGTTACATTGTATTACTGTCACTTAAGTATTAATTGTGGAGTTGGATTAGATCCTTAGGGAGACTAACTAATTATGACTTGTGTTTTGAACTCTGTTTTAGGTTTTTATGACAAGTTTATTTTGCTTCTCGACTTCAACAGCTTGTACCCATCGATTATCCAGGAGTTTAACATCTGCTTTACCACAGTGCAGCGACTCTCATCAGAAGCACGCAAAAGGGCAGAGGTTTGTGTGCTTCAGTTTGTGACTTAAGTTACACTGTCTTAACTTGGTGTGTTTTCTGTGAATCGGCTTTTTAAAAAACTCTTCTTTTTCAATGTTTAATGCTGGTTGTTTTTTTTTTTTTTTTGCTCCCCTCTCACACTTAAAAAAACCCCAGTGGTTCTTGTTTAAAGACACATCAAAGTAGGTTTTGATTTGGGACTTTTTGACTGCTACATGCCTGTCATCTTTCTTTCGGTAATACTCTTACAGGTTCTTGGTAAGTGCTCTTCCATATAAATAAAACCTTGAAAACCTGGAACAAGATTTTTAGTGAGGCTCCTGGTGGGTCTTTTCAGTTCCAGGTCCTCCTAGCAATTTTGAGCCCCTTGACCAATTTCATCTTAATTTGGTAGAAGCTTCTGAAAGTTTAGTCGCTGCAGAATTCATGTAAACGTACCTGAATGAGGGAAACTGAAGTCTCATGCTTCTGCCTGGAGGAAAGAGCATGGTATGAGCTCAACTCTTATCAGACATCAGGACAACTGTGTGTATGCCTTGAGGGTGTGTGTGCCAGGGAGAGATACTGTGACTAGATCAGCTGTGGGACCAGCTTCACGGAAATTCATGCTCTTTAATACAGCATTAAACTATATTAAACACATCTGAAAAACCTCCTGAAGTTGTAGTTCCATGTGCTGCTTTCTCAGCAGCTCTGTTGGCTATGGCTTATCTGTGCCTGCTTATTCTGTTTTCCTCAGTTTTGCTGGAACAATTGGTGGAGCTGCGCTGTGAACTGGAGCAGTGAGCTGGTCAGGTCTAAACGTTAAACCTGAGGCTTTTATTTTTTACTGCTGTCAGCTCACATATTGGATTTAGTGTGCTGTGCATAAGAAGTTATGGGTCACAGTCCCATAACAACTGCAATATCAGTACCATAGCAGAAATGAGGAAAAAGGGAAAAAGAGTATGTGGAGCTCTGTCAGTAAATTTCCTCCAGACTCTGTGGATTTACACTGTTTCCAAGCATACTTCAAACCTAAGCAGCTTATTTTAGTTTCTGTCACTGTGTCATTTCTTGTTATGGTTCTTCCCAGACTGCTTTACTAAGCTTGCCAACCTGGTAGTGTCTCTATTGCCCTTTCTTTGTGTATTTCTGTCTTTTTCATTGTGCTTGAAATTTTCTTCCGTTTTTTGCTGAGCAGCTGTTTTTTGACTATGCTAACAAGAAGAATGTGTGCTCTCTGTTAGGTTGTTTTACTGTAATAAAGAGTTGCTTGGAGTGGAGTTTTCATTCTGTTGTTACTGTTGCTATCTCCTTTGTCAGTTACCTTATTCAAAGTATCAGTTCCACAGAACTTGGGCTCCTTTTTGCAGTTCTGAACACCAAAAGTACTTATGGGCTAATGAAAAAAATTGGGTTTTTTTTTCGGCATGGAAGGTATTGCTTCTTTGTGTGCTTTTGTTTATATTTTTATATCTATTTATCTACACCTAAGAGTCGAAGTGTCTGTTTTATTTAGTAGGATTTATATGTTTACACACATCTATATACAAAATGCAGATACATAAAAAAAACAAAACAAAACAAAAAAACCCCCCAAAAAACAACAACAAAAACCCAACAAACAAAACAAAAACAAACAAAACAACAAAAAACCAAAACCAAACAAAAAAAAACCCAAACCAACCCAAACAAAAAAAAAACAAAAACAAAAACAACACTAACCCACTAACCAATCTTCCTGGTACTGGCCAGTGTCTCTCTTGGGTTTCTCTCAGACAAGAGAGAGGCTTGGTCCCTGTCTCCCAGCAGGGACTAAGTGGTATAGTTAAGTACCACAAAAAGCCTTTCATGCTGCTTGTTCTAAACTGTGCTTTGGGTGCTCTGCAGGAGCAGACACAAACACACTGGAATTTTTTGTTGTTGTTGTTGTTGTTTATTTTCCCCAAGCTTTTCACTTGACACATCAAAATCTAATCCTCAAGCAAAACAAAAATAATAAGCAGTGGTGATCATTTGACAGGTTGAAGAAGAGGAGGAAATTCCAGAGCTTCCTGACCCATCTCTGGAAATGGGAGTTTTGCCTAAAGAAATCAGGAAGCTGGTGGAGAGAAGGCGCCAAGTTAAACAGTTAATGAAACAGCCAGATTTAAATCCTGACCTTTATTTACAGGTGTGTTTTATAGAATCCCTTTGATTTTTCCTTCCACTCCCTTAAGTGCCCTGATCAGCTTGGCAGAATAGGGATGATTAGTAGTGAGCAGTGATTGTAACGTGCTTTACTTCTAGTCTGTTATGGCTGCAGACTGTATAAAAAGCTGTGAAGGTAATTGTGAACATCAAGTTCTGTTCTTTGCTGGCTGTGGTTGTATCATTTTTTCTGGTCATGTTTTTTTTCAGTATGATATCAGACAGAAAGCTTTGAAACTCACTGCTAACAGTATGTATGGCTGCCTGGGATTTTCCTACAGCAGATTCTATGCCAAGCCTTTGGCTGCTCTGGTGACACATAAAGGAAGAGAGGTAAGTCATTAGACAGGTTAGGCATACACAAGTGTAAAAAAAGTTAATTTAAGCCATCTACTTTGTGGATGAATAGAAGAATGGTCTTGTTTTCAAACCTGCTTTTGGTTTCAGAATGTAGCTTTCATCTTGTACTGCAAAAGCTGGAAAAAAGTAAAACTGGTGTCTAGAAAAAAATAGATGTCTCAAAAAGTATGACAAGTTGAAAAGACTTTTCATTTATTATTTTTTTACTTATTATGAACTATAATATATAATTATTAATTATTATTTATAATTGTTATCTAGAGCTGTATTTTGACTTAAACTACTCAGTTTCAATAGACCAGATTCTGATGAGACAAAAAATCAAGGCTACTTTCACATTTTCCCATTATTTTGCAGTTCTGTTTGATAAGTTAGCCTTTGATTCAGTGCTATGCTTCAGCTTTGGGTGAGCTTGTCTTTGGCCAGTCTGTCCTGTGCCGTGTTAAGTTCCTGAAACCCTAAAGTTTGTGACAGGGCTAGTTATTCACATGGTGACAGTGGATTATGGATCAGGGCATTATTTGTTTGCTCCTTAAAATTAAACTGTTTGTTCCTTAAAATGAAGCTTTGCATTAGCCTCAAGAGGCCAGATTTTATTTCAAGAGCTGTTCCTAACCTCATAGGCAAAACTATTCTTGCTGCTGATTCTGGTGGCAGCTGAGTGCAGACCACATCCATTTGGTCTCGATGGGAAAAATAACCATTAAAGATCCAAAATGTAGCACCAATACACCGTGCCTTACAACAGTTTTTTTCATGATGCTTCGTATTAGTTCCTTATAGAAGAGAATACCAAGGAAGTATTTGCTAGGGTGCCAGGAACAGACATGACAGGATAGCTGGTCAACCTGTTAGTGGAGCAGGGAGATGGATGAGTTCCGTGTTCAGAGGCAGGTACTCCCTCTGGTGTGAGGGTGCAGCTCGCCTTGCTGTGGACTACTCAGTGCACTGAAAGTCCATTTACAGCCCCCAGCTGCTCTTTGCAGGGGTGTTTTGTTTCTGATAACACATCCTTGTTTTTAAGTCTTCCCATCTAAACAGTTCCCTAAGGATAACCTCACATCTGCTGTCCTCCCAACCAGTGTAACCAGTATGTTTAACCTTACACACTTAACTAGGAAATATTTTCCAGGTTTGATAACTGTAAATGCACTATGCAGCTGTGTGAGATCAAAAGCTGAGGTTTCCTTTAAAGAAGTGGTGTCTTTGTTGTTGTGAGATTCTGCTGTGCTTATCTACAAGGTTGGCATGAAAAACATATGAGTATCCTAGCTTTATGTTTTCTAGCAGTATTTCACAAGTCATGAATTGGAGCTTTTGTTTGTTTTATGATCTCTGTTAATCATGTGGAGAACTTGTCACAAACCATGTGTTGTATGAATACTTGAGCTTTTGGCCTTCCCCTTAGTTAAGAGGGAAAATACTTTTCATTTGCACATACAGTTTATTCTCAACAGTCTGTGCCTTACCAGTTATGAGATACTGGTGCATGAAATTCTGATCTTCTTGTGTTATGGTGGAATGCGAAAATCCTAAACAGGTGATACACGATATGCTAGGGAGCACTTTGAGCCACTTTCTCTTACATAGCTGGTGTTTGGTTTGAAAGATTCCTTGACTCTTAAATTCTGGTGGAGCTAGACCTGCGCTTGCTTCTGCTGAGTCTTTGCACACCTTTGAATCTCCAGTTTTGGAGTTATTCTGAGTTTGGGGGAAAACTTAATACTGTGACGCAGTGGTGCCTGAAAGTGTAGTGTACCTGGTGCAGATCCAAAAGTTCCTTTGTGAAATGGGGCTGCTGGGAGCACAGCAGAGGCACGCAGTTTGTGGGAGGTGGTCTGCATCTGGCAGAGCTAGTGCTGAGTTCAGTGGGGTCTTGGTAGGTCTCTTCTGTGCAATACAGCAAATCCTGTAAAGCTAAAACTGTCTTTTTTTCCCCCCCTATTCTTTGAAGTATATTAGTATTCATTACTCTGGATACTGTGGAAATAACAAAGGTTTGAAAATAATTTTTCAGGTGTGTTGTGCTTCTGGGTAAGTATGATAGATTCTGAAGAAACACTGTATGTGCTCTGTTCTGAAAACTTGCATTTTTAGGTAGGTAGTCAATAAACAGCCACAGTTTTATTAGTTCCTTATTTCTTGAGTAGTAGTTTTTGCCATAAAAAATTACACAAGAGGACACCTTAGGTTTTCTGCTTTTGGTTTGTGGTTTTTTTTTTTTTTTTGTTTTTTTGTTTTTTTTTTGTTTTTTTGTTTTTTGTTTTTAGTTGAAATATTTAATCTGGAAAAATACTACTGTAAATTTTATATTGGCCTTTCTATAGGTTTCCGCTCACACTCAATGCTAATATAAAGGAGGCGAACATCAAGTATCAGGAGATTTAGCTTCTATCTGTGAGAAGGTTAGTTAAAAAATAACTATTATGGAAAAATGTTATTGATCTAAGTCTAAATGACCTTTCCTGATTATCAGTAAGTGATACTTTTTACTGATGAGGAGGGGACCTGAGTAAATGCTGGTAGGCTTGTAGATGTCTAAGTGGGAAATACACTGTGTCTCCTGGGCTGTAACTTCTTCAGTAGCGGAGCTGCCGTCGAGTTCCTTATGGTGACTAAGAATTCATGTAGTTACACATAGCCATTTAAAAAATACTTATAAATAAGTTTATAGTCTGCTACTGATAAAGGCAGATCATAGTCCTAGAAATGGTGCAGTGTGTTAGAGTTTAGTTCTCTTCTGTCAGCCTCAGTGCGATCGGAGCTGGTGCTTCACCCGTATTTACCTTAAGACGTGCAGTGCAAGCGTAGCAAAGCCTTCCCACTCTGGCCATGTGTAGGCTGGGTCCAGCAGGGGAAGCTGGTGTGGGATTCCAGTGGACCAGGTGTCATTTCTTTGGAGGGTGTAGCAATGGTACCGAGTGTTCACTAGATGGCGATAGAGACCTTGAGATCATTAATAATTCAATTAAGACTTTCATTTTTGTCACAAAGTGTTTAAAATGTTGACTGTCAGGTTTTTCAAACGGGTCTTCCTTTTTTTTTTTTCCTTTTTTTTTCAGTTGTGCATAATCTCTAGAAGGGAGGATGGGGCATATCAGTGTGAATTTGTCACAATTTAGAGTATTGTATATCACAGACTGATTAAGTTTTGGTGTATTTTGGAAGAAAAAAGGGTAAAAATTTGCAGTAGTAGGGTGTTAAAACTATAGCTCATATCAGTTTCCGCTTTTTGGAAAATGTGGTTTCTTGTTTTGATCATTAGAAATGCATCAGTTCTTGTTCTGGCAACAAATTAAAAAAATTTTTTTTCTGCATTTGCAATCCAAATGTTACATTATTGATCTGGAATGCGTTAGAAGGATATGTGGACCTTCCTCACCATCCTGACCCTCTCACCCTGCCCCCCCCATGTTACTAAGCATTAGCCTGGACATTGCTCTTGTAACTACAGCAGTTGCTTGCATGGAAAAGTAATAGGAAAATATTTAATATATTTTTAGCTGTCCTTTAATGTAATTTAACAACTGGAAACAAGATGAGTCGGAGTTGTACAACCAGCCAGCTCTGCACTAGCAGGCAGGGTAAGGTCATGCCTTTCTAGCCTCTTTAAAGGACAAGTCTTTTGATGAAGTGTCAGTTGGCTGATTTCCCAAACGCAGGATGCCCTCTGCTGCAGGGTTTTCCTACAGGACAGCAAAGTTGTTGAGAGAATTTTATCTGTAGGCAGCTTGGTTGCTAATGGCTGTCACTCAAAGCTGAGGCCTTTTCCAGGTACTTGATTTTTTCTGAGTTGTTTTTCATTGTTGTGGTGTTTTTTTTTTTTTTTTTCCCAAGCAGCTAGAAAACTTGCCTTTAAAAGGAAAATAACAACTGCTGTTTTCAGCAGTGATAACAGGTAGATCTAGTGTTACAGTATGCAAAAAAGGGGGAAAGAGGTAATTGGGTTAATTCCAACTTTCTCATTCAGATCCTTTAGATACATTCTCAATTAATAATTAGTTTAAGGCCCTGGCAGTCAAGGGAAAGAATAAAAGCATGTTATTGCTGCAGTCTGGGAAAAGAATGGATGAGGGAGGAGGAAGATGAAGTGGAGAAAAATGAGCTCAATTTAAAAAAAAAAAAGCAAGGAAAGAAACGGGTTTATGGGCGTCTATTGCAATTCTTTTCTGTAAAGAAATCCAGGCATCTCTTTTTCATTTTTATTTTTTTTTTAAAGGTCTTCTTCATCCAGGGAAATTGGTCATCGGGTATTTTCTCTTAATTGCCCCTTAAGCTTTGGTTGTATTGTCTACAAGAGTTGCCATGTGAATGAGGCAATTATCAGACTCTTGGTTTCTTCTGTGTTGTATTATGGGAGAAAGGGGATGTTAAAAGAGGGAAAGGAGCCTCCTAAAGACTGATGTAAGCATGCTGTCTATATTTAAACAGGGAATACAACATCAGTATAACATTTTTGGAAGATGTGGGACTTGATGGCAAAAGGCTAGGCAAAGAGTCTCTTAATTGCTTTTCAGTATAAAGATGGCAAAATGAAATCTTACAAGAAATAGTGCTAAATTGTTGCAGTGTTCCTAAATGGAAACTCTTGGGGTCAAACCAGTTGTCACTGTTGTTAAATTTATCATTATGTATGCAATTGTGAGCCAGTGAAAAAGCTACACATGTTATTCTGCATACTAATATCCCAAACAAGTTAGAAGAGACATTTCAAAGGAGAAGCTGCTTACATTCTGAAAATGCGAACTGAGTACCAAGTAGTAGAAAAATTATGGAACATCTTAACAACCATTGAAATGAAAAATTATTATTGTTAGTCAAGTGCGTGAGATGACATCTGGACTGTTAAAGACTTTTGCATCTCCAAGGAAAGGAAATGAAACATTTCAATTAAGAAGAATGGCCAGAATATTTTTGGGTGAGGAGGAAATTAGTCTGGAGGGAAAAAAAAATTTATTTTATTTTGAGTGATG